AAATCGAAAATATGATGAAGAAATGCGACCTGATGATGATTGACAAGTTCGGACGTGTAGACAATCTGGAGAAGATGGAGACAATAAGGATCAATCCGAAGATTGAAGAAATCACTGCACGAGTGCTTTCCCTGCAGGCACACATCAAAGCCGCGGAAGAGAAAGCAGAGGATGAACTGCGTGAAGCCAGGGACTGCTATATCGCCGAGATGAGGGAAAACACCAAACTAATCTCAAAAACTGTGCTGCTCTTCCATGAACTACAGAACTTGCACGGCGTTCTTGACAAGCAACAGAAAAATATGGTATACGACTTGCCGTTTTACCCTATACAGCCTTTCTCTGCACGCTGCCAAACTCTTCCAGTGTTTCTCACCAATGGTCAGCCAAACGGCGATAAGCAGTTTAAGTGTGGCCAGATTATGCTTTGTCCTTGCAGAGAATAGTTCCCGTGATCAGGATTTGTTATGAAGCGGTTATGGGACGGAGAGCATGTCGCGGCAGCTAAAGTCACAAACAGACCGTAGTCACTACGACCTTCGGGCCCCGTCTCAAATAGAACGAGAAGTTGGACGCCAGTTGGGAGGGAATTACATCCTGTACAGAATAACTGCAGAACAGATCCGGACAAGTTGGCAACCGCGCGTGAGCACTCATCCGTTGCCACGATAGCGTGCGTCCCGTATGACAGTGTAGCGGCCGAAGACGTCGAGGTTAGCATGAAAATTCGACCGTCGTGTTCAACGATGTCCACCATGTACCCCACAGCAGGTGGTGGGAGCAGGGACGATGACTTGCGCGGGGGTTTATAGTGCCAGTAGATTTGCGTTGCATTTACCACACTCTCTCCTCCTCCCCCGCCTGAGCCCGGTGTCAAGACAGAGTCAAGAAGACCGGAGACGAGGGAGGCCGCAGGCGGATGGCTTGGACGGATCCGCACCTTGGCGATCCACTCCACATCCCCTGGTTCACACAACAAATGATCAGGATTTTGACCGACAAAACAATGGGGGGGGAGGGGTTGGCAGTGGTCCCAGTATGTGCAACGATTGCCGACAACAGGGTCTGCCAGCGCACTCCCTAGATGTTGGCATTTGTTATTGCGCAAAGATAACGCCTGCCAGAATCCGGTGTGGCCCCCGTGTTGGTCCAGCGCATCTAACACGTGGCCCGTTTGGGAGGCACCGAGGTTAGCACACGCACACGGTCAAATAGACCACCTAGGTGAGCTTTCCGGCTAAGTAACACTGGATAGAGTTGTTAGACGCCACATCAGTCAAACATATAGGGATGGAATAAGAAAAGAGGTTTGTAGTATATGAAATCTATGTTACGATAACAACTTGATAGAGTGGAAGAAGTGGAAAATAACGACTGCAAGATAACAGCGAGGTGTTGTACAAATGATCCATTTGGAGTGGGAGGTGGCCACTTCATATCAGTTAGACGCAAACGGAGATTGCAGCGCTGTCGGTAACTGCGGATAAGGGTCGGAGAGTGTGCTGACGAGAAGGGAAACGAGTGACGAACAGACGACAGGAGCGGGTCGAGCAGTCTCAGGGATAGGAAGGGAGGGAACACTGGCCATCTTCACTGGTAAACGATCACACCAGACCCATCCGGGATCCGCGCCAAGGTGACCTCAGCTCGTTCAAACAACCATGTCGGACTTGTGGTGCGTGGGGCATGTGTCACAGCGCCGTGAGCCTGCCTGAGACGACCTTGAAGTTGACTGGCCGGTTTGGATAACTGTGATTGGCTGAGGACCAAACCGCCACTGGTACGCGCATGCAAGTACACGCGAGAGGCGCAGCGTTGCAGCAGCCAACCGTATTAGGCAACTACGAGCCACAAGCTATCAAGCATAAACTTGATGAGTTTGAACCCACCAGAGTTTTTTTCGCCAAAATCCAGCAGCAGCAGCAGCATCAGCAGAAATAAAAGCTAAACCAGGAAAACGCTAGCCACTGGGCGAAACGGGCCACAATCTGTGTGCAGACTCAATGTGCCTTCGAGTCCACTGTGGCAGTACATGTTGCCTATAAAAATCCCATTGACACATTGCTTATCCATGCATCAACAGCAGAATTTTGTCCAATGTGAAGGTTTGTGCTTAACACTTTTTCTCGCATTTCAGGGAAAAGGACGTCCTGCCGGGCTTACGGAAAAAACAGAAATATCAAACATGCTCAGAGTGGCGGCATCACAGGCTGAAGAGTTAAACAACCTTACACTTGAAATAAGCAATCTTTCCCGAAAAGCCGGAAATGAAGCAGCAGCCTTAATCAAGCCTAACAATGTCGCGAAGAATTAGCAAAAAATGGTGTTACACGACCCTGGTGAAATCATCCCATGGACCTGCTGTTCTGTCCAAAACCCACTTTGAATAACAGTCATTATAGTATACATCAAATTTAACTAAACCAACCCAAATTACTGATCTTCTGCTGGCGCGTTTGCCGTTAATGTTGGGGAAGAGACGTCGGTCATGGAGAATTTTGATTTATTGATCCGCGCTCTCTGACCCGTTATAGCTTCCTTTTGTGGACTGTTTCCCGTTTCCCAACTTCTCTGTTTTAACCTTCGGAAGGCTCCGTATTAGCAAACCGGTGCCAGTGCCTACACCTTGAAACGTCATAAGCTATTTAACAATGTGCCATAACAAAGAGATAACTAGCTAGATTTTAGACCGCAAACCTCATTTGTGCTCTCTGAACCTGGGCCTGTCTTCTATCTCCATCCTGCGAAAATGTCTCTGGGGTACCCCTTGTCGCTCACGGAGGTAGTTTGTGAGGTTCAACTGCATGAACAGCAATAATTTCCCACTCCTTCCGGGACACTTTAAACCCTGCGCTGGTTCGGTAACATTATGGAAATATTTCAGGGTATTGTAATGTCCTGGGATTCTTAAGGTAGCGTATTGACAGAAACTCTATGAAGATAGGACGTGTCTGCTTGTAAAGCTGCTACTAACGAAGCATGCTCACGAATGGTGTTTAATGATACCGTCATCAAGTGTGCTCAGGTGTCTGTGAGAAATAAGCATTTACATCAGAATGCCGATAGATGGCGTTAGGTGCGCCTCAAGGTCAAAGGACGACTAAACGGCATGGCGACCAGCATTGACTCGCCAGCTAGTAATCTATTTCACGATAATGAAACAGGGCTCACACTAGGATATTCTTTGACTATGCTTCTAGGCCTAGACAAAATAAAGAGCTGATAACTTCCGGGGATGAATGTGTAACTTATATGGAAAACAATGGTCGTGGTCCGCGCAAGCCGACTGGGTGATTCATCCAAACTCTCCCTACAGAAGAAAGCGTGTGACGCCAAATTTTATCCTGAAAACTATTTAGTGAATGGAAAATCCAATAATGTTGTCCGCTGAACTTTACTGTCATCTACGACAACCGAAATCCAACAAGGGTCCGAAACCTATATGTACGGTGAGTGACCGATCTCATGAAATGTTGGCTGAAATTCTGAAATGAGTTTTCGATTAGGAAGGATTACTTGGTCGCGGTTGTAATACTGATTATCTTGCGGCATAATCTTATCGCATTTCGGACTCGTCAGGATGTCAGCTAATTGCCGAATAATTTGGAGCCTGATCATTCGTTGCACTAGCGCTTAGTGATTTCAGTCCACAAGGTGCACGCGTTTCGCGTAAAGAAAATCACATGTTTTTCTATGCCATTAAAAAGATGTCATACAGAGCCCATAAAATTTTGCAATGGATGCGGACCATGTCGTACCATATACCGATCCCCGCCGAGGGATTACGACGCAGACATTAGTCTGCTGGAAATCATAAAAGAGATCCGCAGTAGACCGGACGTTGTCCTCGTGGGGAACTTTAGTGCACCCTGCATTCAATGGAGCGATATGCATGCGAAGCGCTCGGAGTATACCTTCGATCACCATTTCAATGAGGCGACACTAAGAGCACTTCTTACGCAGCATATTCTTGTTTCAATTAGAATGTGTGGATGGCAACAGACTATTTGCCTGGATCTCGTCCTCACCAAAAATCCGACAGTATATACGAGGTGTACTGCCTATTAATGCTCGGCAGAAGTGACCATTCAGTACTTTTATGGGATAACGAGCTATATTCTGCACCGTCTGTAGTAAACAAGACGAGTTCAAGTATATGAGGGGAATTTTTGCCAAATGGGACCTGTGGTATCGCAAATAGATTTGGATGCCCTCTTCTCCGGAAACGTCAACAAGGACTGGAATTCATTCAAGAAGTGATTGCTGCATCTAATGAAAAGCCACTGTTCCTTATCAAAGCCTAGGACATCCAACCGACCTCAGTGGCTAACGCGAGATCTCAAACAGGAGAACTGCAAGAAAGGAAGGTTTTGGAAGAAGTTTCGTAAAAATGACTATAATACGGCGTTTACAGAATTTAAAGTTCAAAAATAAGTGAAGGGTTTGATTTTAAAAAGACGAGGGGATTGTAAGAGCAATCTTCTCCACCGATCCGTTACCCATCCGAAATTGCTCCACAGTTATTTGCGAAAAAACATCCTTAACAGGAATCGGATTCCTGTCGTGAGGAATGATGACGTTTCGGAGATATTAGATAGCACAAACAAAGCTCAGCATTTTTTGTTCTTCCAATCCGTTTTCACAAGAGAAGCAATTTTCATTCCACCTGGTTATGAGAGCATGGGAGATCCGACGGTTGAAAATATTGTGTTTGGAGAGGAAAGGATTTTCAAAGAACTGAAAAGCTTGAAAGAATGTAAATCTGCCGGCCCGGACGAGATCCCAGCAAAGCTGATATTCGAGCTTGCCCGAGAGTTGGCCAAATCACTATCTCTTGCGTGGCGTAGATCGTCCGATGCTGGAATCCTTCCCACAGACCGGGCAACAGCCCACATTACATTGCTCGACGCGATGACGGGCGTTTGGTATTCGATATTTTGTAGCTGAATCCACACGAATATAGAAAGTCAACTGCAACACCAACTGGTCGTGCAGATAGAGGGACGTTTTTCAACAAGAAGTTGTAAGTTCTTTTTTGTCTATCACTAGATTCACTGGATATCAGATGAACGAGTGAGTCGAGACGTTTGCATTCTTGAAAGTGAGCACCGGAGATATTCCTGTCAAACAAATTTCCCGGGATTGACAGCATAGTGCCAAACGTCAGCATAAAGTGGTTGCAATTGTAGAGCACAGGCATATCAAGCTGCCTGTCAGTAAATACGGGTGACGAATGGCTGCTGGTGCTTTCTGACCTGGATTTAATTGAGCCATGCCTGTATACAGAGGGTGAAAGTCCTCGCCGACCTGTGACATTCTGCTTTCATCTTACTTCGAGTTAAGTTGCAACTAATTAAGCACGACCAATTTTCAGCGAGAGATTAAGGTTGTGAAGAAAATGCACATGGTTAGAGACAGGTCGGATGCACAAGATGCAAATTGCAAAATGCGACTATTGGTCAACAGGCGCAAGATAGCGAAACTCAAAAAAGAAACGGCAACCGATAATTCCAATAGAATAAGCCCTATATTTAAGGAACTTTACTCAGAAATGAGAGCTAAAAGTCTTTCCGTCTCCAGAGAAAAGTTATTTTAGATAATATCTTCTAATCGTCCTTAAATTTGAAACCCATGGCTTGACCTTGACCTTAGAAGTTAATAGTTGTGGGCCCCGGAGGCAAATTTCTTAACTGGATCGAGAATTTCCTCTTCGACTGTCCCCATATTGTTTGCATAGAGCAAACGCAATCATGCCGCACAGTCATAGAGGTTGGAGTCCGACAAGGCTCAGTGCTCGGACCGACCCTCTTTCTCTTGTCCCTTATGACTCTGTGGAGGAATTGAACTGTGATTGTGCTATGTCTGCAGACGATATAAAAATATAGAAAGTCATCCACAATGCTTCCGATGAGACCCACTTCCAAAGAAATTTTTGTCGATTGGACAAGTGATCCTGTATATGGTTCCTGTCCTTCAAATTGAACAAATGCACCATACTGCCCATCGGAAATCAGAACCAGAGCCATAATACGTGACAATACTATTTGAACGGAATGCTACTCCGAGAAGCAGAAACACAAAAAGATCTCGGAGTCTGTATTGCAGGCACACCAAAGCCTTCTACATAATGGTGCGAGGCGGCATAGGCCCCAACTTCAATGCTATGCGATATCAAGAGGGCAATCGCAGTTTTTGATAAAGACTGCTTCTCCAAAATCTTTGGTACGTTTGTGAGGCCCATCTTGAATATGTGATTCAGGCCTGGAGATCCTGGACGTAGCAGAATTACAATCAACTCGAAAGCGTGCAGAGGTGCCCCACAAAAATGGTAAAAATCGAAGGTACCCTGCCAGACGAGATCAGCCTAAAATATCTTTTGTCTCTATCCTTTGAGTTATAAGCAGTTGTGCGGAGACCTGATACAGACTTTCCGTATAATGCGTGGTTTGGACTGCGCTATCCGGTGTGACGACGTTTCAAACTCTCCGTCACAAGTGGCCTCGGGAACATCCGTTTAAACTGTGTCTGCCACAAGGAAGACTGGATGTAAGGAAGTATTTCGTCTAACCGTGTCGTGGAATCGCGAAATAACCTGCCCGAGCCGATCGTAATGTTTCAATCCTAGGAGGCAGACAGACATATACTACAGTAAAGAGTGAACTATTGGACCGTCTAATCATCGCAACCTATGACCTATGTGGGTCGAGTCCTATATTCACTTGATGCTGTGATTTTCTTCGCATTGTCGCGAATCGTTTCGATTTTTTCAACGGATAGTGTGGTCAAAGGCGTAAGTTCATTTCCATCAAATGCACCGAACTGAACCGAACTAAACTGAATGATGGTGTGTTGGCAAGTTTTCCAGAAGTAATGCCTTTCTGCATTCAAAATTATGGGTTAGAATCTGTTGTGTCTAAGCGGCTAGAGTAAGTTCTCTGTGTCCTTGTCTGTGCGCTATCATCCTCGGGTCAGATCCCAAGTTGAGGAGAGAAGACGGAAGAAACCAGAATGAGGGATTTATTGTGCACAAAACCCGGTGTTGTCCTCTCAGGCGGCAGTGGCCACTGGAGAATAGAATAGAATAGAATAGGTTTATTGTAGCGCCCCTTGGGCCCTGTCAGTCCCCTTTGAACTCAGGAAAAAAACCTAAAACAAACTCGTCAATTTCAACTGCACTTTGACTTCATTTGCTTCGGGTGTCTGCTTAGCCAAAAGAGCGCGAATTGAAAGTTTGTTTTAAGTTAAAGAAACCTCAGTTCTAAGGGAAAATAATAACAAAATTTTCAAAAAATAACGATGTATACAATATAAAAA